TGAAACATTAGCTTTCCTGCTTCTCTGATGCTGCCTGGCCTGCTGTGTTCCTCCAGCTTTACACCTTGTTATCCCTCTCCACTGCCCTGTGAAACATTTCCATGGCAGGTATAGAAACAAAAATTTCTGGAAATCCTCAGCAGGCCATGTAGCATCTGAGGAGGAAAACAGGGTTAATATTTCAAGTCAATTATCTTTTATCGGAACCAGGCCAGTGTAGTGTGGGTTAGATACAGAATAAAAATCTTACTGCGCTGCCTATCGCAATATTCCCAAATCCGATATAGCAGCATTCAGTTGTTGTAAAACGTGTAACAGTTTCCTCCCTGAGATTTGTATTTTTTGCGTTATATTTCTAGTATCAAAGCTGATGAGTGTGTTTAGTCCATTCAGGGCACCTTGGCAACCTCAGCAATAAACACAGGATTTTAATTACAGCTTAATTGAACAGTTTATATTGTTGGAGGAGGAATCCATGTGTTTAATGAGGATTCTGCTGAAAAACAAACCTTTACTTTTGAAGTGCTTTCAATGGGATTTCAGTGTTCAGTATCCGTTTGCCTTTGACTGTTATTGAACTACAGATGACCTGGTGATTTTTTTAGGCAGCAAGTTGTTGTAATCTGGAATGTACTGTATGAAAGGGTGGTCGAAGCAGACAGTGATTGTAATGTTACCAGACTACAAATGCAGACGCTACGGGGTCGCAGGTTCAAATCTCACCACAGCATTTGCTGGAATTTGAATTTAGTAGTGAAAAAGGCTGGAATAAAAGCTACTTTCAGTAATGGTGACTGTGAAGGTATTGAACTGTGGTCAAACTCCATCTGGTTCACTGATGTCCTTGAGGAAAGGAAATCTGCTATCCGTACCCAGTCTAGCCTACGTGTGACTCCAGAACCTCAGCAATATGGTGGACTCCAAACTGCTTTCTGAAATGGCTATAAATTGTTATAGAAAAGTGAAAATGGAACAAATGCAGATGGACCCCAGCTGGAATCTGTCCAATGCATTCTCACCCAGGGGTACTCCTGAATATCTGGGGATTTGTGCCAAATTTGGACAAGTCAAGCAGTAGCCTGACATAATCATACTCACCAAATTATCCCTTATAGCCAGACTTATACAGCACCATTCCAGAGCCTGTTCTATCCCACAAGGCAGCACAATGCCACCAGGGACAGTGGTGCAGTTTTTCAAGAGGGAATTGCACTAGGAATCCTCGATATTGACCTTGGACCCCAAAGAGGTCCTGCAGTATCAAGTCAAAAATGGGCAAGAAAATCTCCTTCTGATTACCACTACCATACCTAACCCCCTGCCGTGACTTCAGCTGATGAATTAGTGGCCCTCTGCATTGAATAGCACTTGGAGGAAACTTTTCGGGTGTCAAGGGAACAGAATGTACTTTAGTTGGAGACTTCAATGTCCATCATCAAGAATGGCTCAGACGCATCATTACTGACTGAACTGACCAGTGATGAAGGAACTTTCTGATATCATTTCAAGTATGTGGCAGGTGGTAAAGGGGAAGCCTACTTGACCTCACATTCCCCAATCTACCTGTCACTGATGCATCTGTCTACGACTACATCTTCTGAAGTTTTAATGCATTTTTAGGAACTTCTTAAACTGGTGAGCTGGGAATTGGGGAGGAAATTCTTTGCATATGGTTGTTTATCCCTTTCAGTAGGTTCAGTGGATTGGGTTAGAGGAATATTTATGTTTATGGTACTTCGGAGTGAGGAGACTTTAATAAACTTCAGAACCTTATTTAAATCCATTCTTTGTGATTGTTTGGTGTGTCCTACCTTCTAAAGTAGATCTACATAGAGTCATACAGCAGTTGGACCTTTGGTCCAGTCTGTCCATGCTGACCATAATCCCAAACTAAAGTAGTCCCAGTTGCCTGAACTAGGCTGATATCCCTCCAAACCTTTCTTATTCACATATTTACCGAATGTCTTCTAAACATTGTAACTGTACTCTCTGGCACTTCACTCGTGTTTATAGATGATACAAATATTTCTACTAGGGGCCCCACAATTTCCTCCCTAATTTCCCACAATGTCTTAGGATGCACCAGGTCAGGTCCTGAAGATTTCTCTACCTTTGTTTCCTAAGACCTCAAGCACTTTCTCTAATGTGAACTGTTTTCAAAACATCAATGTTTATTTTGCTCAGTTCTCTAGCCTCCATTTCTTTCTCAACAGTAAAAACTGATGCAAAATATTCATTTAATATCTCTCCCATCTCCTGAGGTTCAATACAAAGACAACATCGCTACATTCAGGGATAACAAGGTGTAGAGCTGGGTGAACACAGCAGGCCAAGCAGCATCAGAGGAGCAGGAAGGCTGACGTTTCGGGCTTAGACCCTTCTTCAGAAATGGGGGAGGGGAAGGGGGTTCTGAAATAAATAGGGAGAGAGGGGGAGGTGGATAGAAGATGGATAGAGGAGAAGATAGGTGGAGAGGAGACAGACAGGTCAAAGAGGCAGGGATGGAGCCAGTAAAGGTGAGTGTAGGTGGGGAGTTAAGGAGGAGATAGTCAGGTCAAGGGGGCGGGGTGAGGTTAGTAGGTAGGACATGGGGGTGGGGCTTGAGGTGGGAAGAGGGGATAGGTGGTAGGAAGGACAGGTTAGGGAGGCGGGGACAAGCTGGGCTGGTTTTGGGATGCGGTAGGGGGAGGGGAGATTTTAAGCTTGTGAAGTTCACATTGACACCATTGCGCTGCAGGGTTCCCAAGAGGAATATGAGTTGCTGTTCCTGCAACCTTCGGGTGGCATCGTTGTGGCACTGCAGGAGGCCCAAGATGGACATGTCGTCTGAGGAATGGGAGGGGGAGTTGAAATGGTTCGCGACTGGGAGGTGCAGTTGTTTAGTGCGAACGGAGCGTAGGTGTTCTGCAGAGCGGTCCCCGAGCCTCCGCTTGGTTTCCCCGATGTAGAGGAGGCCACGACGGGAACAGCGGATACAGTATACCACATTAGCAGATGTGCAGGTGAACAACTGCTTGATGTGGAAAGTCTTCCTGGGGCCTGGGATGGGGGTGAGGGGGGAGGTGTAGGGGCAGGTGTAGCACTTCCTGCGGTTGCAGGGAAAAGTGCCGGGTGTGGTGGGGCTGGAGGGGAGTGTGGAGCCGACAAGGGAGTCCCAGAGAGTCTGCCATCTGCAATCCAACCCCAGCACCAAAGACATTGTTCCCTCCCCACCCTTATCTGCTTTCCGGAGGGACAACTCTCTCTGGGACTCCCTTGTCTGCTCCACACTCCCCTCCAGCCCCATCACACCCGGCTCTTTTCCCTGCAACCGCAGGAAGTGCTACACCTGCCCCTACACCTCCCCCCTCACCCCCATCCCAGGCCCCAGGAGGACTTTCCACATCAAGCAGTTGTTCACCTGCACATCTGCTAATGTGGTATACTGTATCCGCTGCTCCCGTCGTGGCCTCCTCTACATTGGGGAAACCAAGCGGAGGCTCGGGGACCGCTTTGCAGAACACCTACGCTCGGTTCGCACTAAACAACTGCACCTCCCAGTCGCGAACCATTTCAACTCCCCCTCCCATTCCTCAGACGACATGTCCATCCTGGGCCTCCTGCAGTGCCACAACGATGCCACCTGAAGGTTGCAGGAACAGCACCTCATATTCCGCTTGGGAACCCTGCAGCCCAATGGTATCAGTGTGCACTTCACAAGCTTAAAAATCTCCCCTCCCCCTACCGCATCCCAAAACCAACCCAGCTTGTCCCCACCTCCCTAACCTGTCCTTCCTCCCATCTATCCCCTCCTCCCACCTCAAGCCCCACCCCCATGTCCTACCTACTAACCTCACCCCGCCCCCTTGACCTGTCCGTCCTCCCTGGACTGACCTATCTCCTCCTTAACTCCCCACCTACACTCACCTTTACTGGCTCCATCCCTGCCTCTTTGACCTGTCTGTCTCCTCTCCACCTATCTTCTCCTCTATCCATCTTCTATCCACCTCCCCCTCTCTCCCTATTTATTTCAGAACCCCCTTCCCCTCCCCCATTTCTGAAGAAGGGTCTAGGCCCGAAACGTCAGCCTTCCTGCTCCTCTGATGCTGCTTGGCCTGCTGTGTTCACCCAGCTCTACACCTTGTTATCTCAGATTCTCCAGCATCTGCGGTTCCTACTGTCTCTGAAGGCTACGTTCAGCATGGGAATATATTGTACAGAACAATCTGTTAGTGAACACACTCCAGCAATGGTGCTGCTGTTCATTCAGTCCAAGTTGCAGTCTGAATGTAATGTGTGCTGTTGTCTTGCAGGTACTATGGAGTTGTGACCTTAGTCCCTATATTCCAGGTGAGTGCACAGTAAACATTCGCTCTGTTTATATTTCTAAATTGTTGTCTGGAATTAGCTGTTGTTTCTGTGCCAGTTCTTCTCTGCCTTAAAATGAAACAAGTTTTTATCTTTTACTGCTGGTGTTTAATTGCATTCTGTTCACTTGCCCTCTGCAGTATTCCAATGTGTACTGCCCAACTCCTCGGGTGCAGGATCTGGTGGATGACAAGTCCTTGCAGGAGGAGTGCCTGGCATATGTCACCAAGCCAGGTATGATTAAAGTTCCTGTTCAGTGCAAAGACAATGAAAATCGAATGGTGTTTGGTGTTTGCACGCATTGTGTTCCTAAAAGCCACAAATTTAACAAACACGGAAAATTGTATAAATTATAATGATACAACAAAAGGAGTGAAAGGTTAACAGAGTAGGTGGAAATGTGGAGTACTCAGATCAGCCATGCTAAGTCCCCAGGACCTGACATTCTATATCCCAGAGCATTGAAGTAGGTAGCTATAGAGATATCTGATACAGTGGTGATTATCTTCCAGAATTCTATAGATTCTGGAATCATTCTTGCAGCTTTGAAGCTCGCAAATGTCACCCCACTATTTAGGAAAGAAGAGAGAGAGAAAACTGGAAACTAAAGATTTAGCCGGAAAGCTGCCAGGCAATCTATAGGGAAGCTGCTAGAACTTATTAGAAAGAATGTTGGGACAACACCAAGATCCTGGGACAGGCTAGGCAGAGACAAGCATGAGAATTCCTGGAAGCATGGCACTCCACGAAGCATGCTATTAATAAACACATTGAACTCGAACCCATATACATTCCACTACGGAGGAAACCCGGAAGTGAGGCAATCCATTGCAACGGACCCCAGAGTTTAAAAACCAGGCAGGAAAACACACCGATGCTTCATCAGAGGCTGCACTGAGGATGTTACCAAGCACGGTAATGAAATGTCTGCAGAACAACAAACCAGCTCGGCGAGCCAACCAACCTCAACACCCACAACCCGAGCTACGATCTACTCCAAAACCTTAAAGAATGTTCAGTTAACAAACTTAAAACACAGGCTAGGAGGTAATTTACTGTCATGGATTAAGGATCGGCTAATAAAAAATGGAGAATAGGAATAAAAGGGTCAATTTCCCATTGGCAGGCTGTAACTGTTGGGGACCCACAAGGATTGGTGGGACCCCAGCTGTTCACAATATGTATCAATAATTTGGGTTTAGGGACCAAAAATAATATTTCCAAATTTACAAATGATACAAACTGAAGTGCGAATGTGTGTTCAGGACAAGGTATAGTGGATTCAGGAAGATTTGGACAGGCTTAATGAGTGAGCATATGTACGGTAGATGAAATGTAATGTGGAAAAATATGAGGTTATCTGCTTTGTTTTGAGGGATTGATGTGCAGAGTGTTTTTTTTAAATGGTGAGAGTTGGGGGGCCTGTGTGTTCTTGTTAATAACAAATCACTGAAGGTCAATATGTGGGTGCTGCAAGCTGTTAGAAAGGCTAATGGAATGTAAGCCTTTACTGTAGGAGGATTTGAGAACAAGAGTAATGAGGTTTTGCTTCAATTGTATAAAAGCTTGGTCAGACCACACCTGAAGTACTGTGTGCAGTTTTGGTCTCCTTATCTCAGAAAATATATCATTACCACAAGAAAGAGTGCAAAGAAGGTTCACCAGATTTGTTCCTGGGATTGTCCTATGAAGAAAGATTGGACAATATTCCCTCACTTGTGAAAAATGAGAGGTGATGACATTGAAACCTACAAAATACTGAAGGAATAAGCAGGGTGAATGCTGGTAAGATGTCACTCTAGAGTTAGCATAATTTGTAAGTATGTGGGGGGAGGATGTCATTTAGGACCAAGATGAGAATTCTTTTTACTCCGAGTTGTGAATATTTGGAATTCTTTATCCCAGAGGCCAGTGGAAACTGAGTCTTTTGAGTATGTTTAAGGTAAAGATTAATGGATTTCTCATCATTAATGGCGTATCGGGTTATGGGGATAGTGTGAGTAAAAAGCATTGAAGTATCAATCAACCGTGATCGTATTGAACGTCATACTAGGCTTGACATGCTGAATGGCCTACCCCTGTTTCTACTTTGTATGCTCTTAAGTAATATGTTGTGAGGACACAAAAACTGCTGAGATTAAGCGAGTGGAGAAGAGAATGCCAAGATGTAAAATAAAGTGGGAAAGAGTGAAGTTATTCACTTTGGATGGAAAATTAGAGAAACGGTATTTTTTTTTAGCAGGCTTCCTTGTCCTTGATTTAGTGGTTGAGGTGAATTATTGTCTGTGGTATGACTTGAGAAATGGAGTAGAGCACAGCATAGAAAATGCCCTTAAATAGGAATTGGCTCTCCATAGTGTGTGTGTGTGTGTGTGTGTGTGTGTGAGAGAGAGCCTTGCAGATCTCTGCTAGACCCTGATCTTTGTTTGCATTTCAAATCCTTAGTTAGAGGGGGGTAGAAAAAAAAGACTTCCCATTTCTTGGCCAGCATCCAGCATCTGTTCTGAAGAAGGGTCTTTGGACCCGAAACATTGACTCTGCTTTCTGTTCACAGATGCTGCCAGACATGCTGGCTTTTTGCAACAATTTCTGTTTTTGATCCAGTGACTTTTGTTAGGCATGTTCTTTGCTGTCACTTACTCCAGTTAATGGTCATCGGAGGTTAGTCAGGGCCTGTGGACTGGTATCAGGTCACCGACACAACTAAGTCAAATCCTGTCCCAGCACCTGAGAAAGATGGGTCAAAAGAAGAGGGAAGGGAATTTCTAATAAATGGCATGTTTGCACAATGGTAGAGGTTTTGAGTGAAGCATTCTGTTAAGTGCATGTGGTTTCCTGTTAACTTTAATTTTAAAAAGCATGCTTTGGATTAAATGTTAAAGAGACCGGAAGCTAAACTTGGTGATAGAACAGCTAATGAGGAGCAATCTAAAGAAATTCACAAGGATTTAGATCTGTTGGGAAGTTGAGTCAATAGATGACAAGTAAAGTTCGCTCCGAAATAACTGATATGGAAGTGAGAAGCCAGGATAGGAACAACAGCCTAAAAATCGTGGTTATTAATGTGAACAAATGTTTGCTGTGTAGAGATGAGATGACTTATTTGGCTCTTTTATTGGATGTAATAACTCATCCTCTGCTAAATTAGCAGACAATCACTTGTATATTAACACTAACACTAATTCCTCGGTTGATACATTGAATGCAGTAATTTTCAATCATATACTGATCTTGAGGGCTGTTGTGGAAACCATCAGCTTAGCTTTTGTAGTTCAAAACAGTACAGGGTACTAGACTGTATAACGTGAGAGACCCTGCAAATACAAAGAGGTAATGATGTGTCTGTGTAAAATCCATAGTTAATGCCTAGAATTGAAAACAGTCAAGATAAAGAGTGGGTTTAAAGGACTGAATGCAGTAATTTACCTTTTTTCACTGTGCCACTATATGTAAATGTAAATGCCACCCATGGAGATTAGATAGGTCCTACAGCAGTGGGAGGCCTTTAAAAACCTGTCACTTGCCCCTTCTGCCTATAGGACACAAGCGTGCCAGTCTGCGAGATGTGTTCCAGCTTTACTGTGGGCTCAGTCCTGGCACTACAGCACGAGATCTCTGCTCCCGCTACGCTCAACAGCTACAACATGTGGACGAGAGGTAGGATGTTGAACTTTGGCTTTGGATTAGAGTCATAGAGGTCTACAGCATAGAGAAAGAAAGGCCCTACAGTCCATCAAGTGTGCATTCGTCAAATACAGCCACCTAACTAGTCCATTCCCATTTTCCAGCACTTGGCCCATAGCCTTTAATGTCTTGGCATTGTAAGTGCACATCTAAATACTTCTTAAACATTATGAGGGTTTCTGCCTCTATCATCCTTGCAGGCAGTGAGTTCCAGATTTGCCCCACCCTTTGGGTGAAAAAATCTTTCCTCACATCTGTGCAGGCTGGGTGGGTTGGCCAGGCTAAAATGCCCGTAGTGTTCAGGGATGTGTAGATTAGGTGGGTTATAGGGGATGAGTCTGGGTGGGATGCTCTGAGTGTCGGTGTGGACTTTTTGGGCCGAAGGGCCTGTTTCCACATTGTAGGACTTCTATGATTCTATGATTTCCTCTAAAGCTTCGGCCTCTTACCTTAAATCGATGCCTCCAGTCATCAATCGCTCCACGAAGGGGGAGTCTTCCTTCCTGTGTGCCCTATCTGTGCCCCCGCAATTGTATACATTTCAATCATGACCCCCCCACCCAAACCCACGCTAAGTCTCCTGTGCAGCCCGAGCAACATCCTGGTATATTTCCTCTGTAGCCTCTCCAGTGCAATCACATCCCTCCTATAATGTGGATTCCAGAGCTACATACAGTACTTTAGCCACAGCCCAACCAATGATTTATCCCTTCAAATCTATGCCTCAGCTAATAAAGGCAACTATTCCATATGCCTTGTGTAACCAACTACCTTAAAGGACTGGTGGACGTACAGACCAGGATTCCTCATGTCCTGGTCCTTGGTGATTTCCAGGGTCCTACATTCATTATGTATTCCCTTGCCTTGCTTGTCCTGCCCAAGTGCATCACCTCTCACTTACCTGGATTCAGTTCCATTTGCCACTGATTAGACCACCTAAACAGCCCTTCTGTATCCTACTGTAATCTATGGCTATCCTCCTGACTGTCTACCTCCCACCAATTTTTGTATCATCCATGAACTCACTGATCAATCCACCTACCTTCAAGTGTAAATCTTGTATATATTCTACAAACCACAACAGTGTCAGACAGAGCTAAGTGAACTCACAACCAATGAGTCAGATCTAAGGTCTGCAGTCCTGCAACATCCAGTTGTAAATGGTGGTAGTAATTAAACAACTCATTAGAGAAGAAGGGTCTGCAAATATCCCTATCCATAATGATGGAAGAGATAAATAATCAGTACAAAAGATAAGGCTGAAGCATTTGCAGCAATCTTCAGCCAGAAGTGCCGAGTGGATGATCCATCTTAGCCTTCTCCAGTGGTACCCAGCATTACAGATACCAATCTTCAGCCAATTCAATTCACTCCAAGTAATATCAAGAAACAGTTGGAGGCACTGGAAAGTGCAAAGGCTTTGGGCCCGAACAACATTCAGCATTGAAGATCTGTGTTCCAGAACTTGCTGCTCTCCGAGCCAAGCTCTTCCACTCCAGCAACAACACTGGCATCAACCTGACAATGTGGAAAATTGCCCAGCTATGTCCTATAGACAAAAGCAGGACAAGCTCAACCCAGCTAATTACCACCCATCAGTCGACTCTTGATCATCAGTAAAGTGATGGAAGGTTTCATCAACGGTGCTATCAAGCAGTACTTGCTCAGCAATAACCTGCTCAGTGATGCCCAGTTTGGGTTCTGCCAGGGCCACTCAGCTGCTGACCTCATTACAGTCTTAGTTCAAATATGGACAAAACAGCTAAATTCTAGAGGTGAGGTGACGACCCTTGACATCAAAGCCACATTCGACTGAGTGTGGCATTAAGAAGCCCAAGCAAAACTGGAATCAGTGAGTATCAGGGGCAATCTCATTGCTGGTTAGGATCATACCTGGTGTTGGAGAGGGATTTTAAAGAGGAGTCTGAGACCTGTGTTCAGTAGCACAAATCGATCTTTATTCTGAGCTCCTTTACCACACGTGGGAGAGGCCAGAGACCACTCCGAATTTGGCTCTCACATGGGGCCCAGTTGCTCTCTTAAATATAGCTCAAATCAGAGGTCAATGACACTGTATCTTTCCCAATGGAGTAGAGGATATTTATAGATACAGCGTTACAATGGTTACATGCAACTTTGACATCAGTGTTTTTCACATACCTTCTGACCTACACATCCAATTCTAGAACATAGAACAATACAGCATAGGAACAGGCCCTTTGGCCCAAGGTGTTGTGCCAAACATGATGCCAAATTAAACTAATCCCTTCTACCTCCTGCCTTTGGTCCATATCCCTCCATATCTTGCATATTCATGTGCTTATATAAAAGTCTCTTTAATTCTCCTATTGTATCTGCCTCCACCAATGCCCCTGGCAGTGCTTTCCAGACTCCTAGCACTCTCTGGGTAAAAAAATTGCTCTTCACATCTCCGTTGAACTTACCCTTCTCACCTTAAATGCATGTCCCCTAGTTTTAGACATTTCAACTCTGGGAAGAAGATTCTGACTGTCAACCCTATCAACGCATCTCATAATTTAATAGACTTCTATCAAGTCTCCCCTCAGCCTCCACCACTGCCGGGAAGACAACCCAAGTTTTTTTAGCCTATCCTTATAACTCATACCCTCTAATCCAAGCTGCATCCCAGTAAATCTCTTCTGCACCCTCTCCAAAGACTCCACATCCATCCTGTAATGTGGCGGCCAGAATTGAAAGCAATACTCTTAATTGTGGCCTGACCAAAGTCTTATAAAGCTGCAGCATGACATCCTGACTCGTGAACTCAATTTTCCGACCAATAAAGGCAAGCATGCCATATGCCTTCTTTACCACCCTATCTATATATCTGCAACTGATCTATATCCTGCCGTATCCTTTGACAACCTTCTACACTAACCACAACTCCACCAATTCTTGTAACGTCTGCAAATTTACTAACCCATCCATCTACATTTTCATCCAAGTCATTTATATATATATCACAATTAGCAAAAGTCCCAGTACAGATCCCTGTGGAACACCATTAGTCATGAACCTCCAGCCAGAAAAACAGCCCTCCACTACTACCCTCTGCCTTTTATGGGCAAATTAATTCTGAATCCATGCAGCCAAGTCACCATCGACCCAATGCATCTTAATCTTCTGGATGACCCTATCATGAGGGACCTTTTTGAAAGCCTTACTAAAATCCATGTAGGCAACATCCACAGCTCTACCCTCACCAATCACCTTTGTCACCTCCTCAAAAAATTCTGTCAAGTTAGGAAGACATGACCTGCCCTGCACAAAGCCATGCTGATTGTCCCTAATTAGGCCATGCTTTTCCAAATGCACGTAAATTCTATCACTAAGAATTCTCTCCAATAGTTTCCCAACTACTGATGTGAGACTCACCTGTCTACAGTGTCCTGGATTAACCCTATTTCCCTTCTTGAACAGAGGAACAACATTAGCTACTCACCAGTTCCCTGGGAATCCTGTGAATGCACGATCAATAGTGGACAACTTCATGGTCCACCTTAGGTCCTCCCATCATCTTATGATGTTTACCAGATCCTATCAGCTGTCCTTGGGCTCTTACAGTTATTGACTACATTCCAACACTGACAGTAATGTACCTTCCTAGATATTTGTTAGCCACATCGTATACTTACTTATTATTAAAGACTTTTCAAGTTTGGTCAAGCAATTCATATCCCTTGCTGAACTTAGCACAGAAGATTAGAAAGAATGTTAATTTCTACCAATTATTATAATATTTGTAATATCAGCTCAACATAGGTGGCCAAAGTGATTAAGAAGGCATTTGGCGTGCTTGCCTTCATCGGCTGTGGCATGGAGTACAAGATTTGGCAAAACATGTTGCAGCTATATAAAATCCTTGTTAGGCCGCATTTGGAGTATTGTGTGCAGTTTTGGTCCTCATCACGTTACCAGAAGGACATGGAAGCTTTGGAGAGAGTGCAGAGAAGGTTCACGAGGATGTTGCCCAGTCTTGAAGACATTGGCTATGAGGAAAGACTAAAAAGACTAGGATTGTTTTCATTGGAAAGCTGGTGGCTGAGAGAAGACCTGATAGAGGTCTACAAAATTATGAGAGGATAGATAGGTTGGATAATCAGAGGCTTTTTCCAAGGGTTGAAGTTTCAATTATGAGGGGGCACAGGTTCAAGGTGAGAGGGCAAAAGTTTGAGGGAGATGTGCGAGGAGAGTTTTTCACGCAGAGAGTGGTAGGAGCCTGGAATGCACGGCCAGAGGAGGTGGTGGAAGCAGGCACGTTGGCAACATTTAAGAGGCATCTGGATGGTTACATGAATAGGGAGGGAATAGAGGTATACGGACCAAATAAGGGCAGAAGGTTTGTTTTTCAGTTTAGTCAGGGCATGATCATTAGCACAGGCTTGGAGGGCCGAAGGGCCTGTTCCTGTGCCGTACCTCTCTTTTGTTCTCTTCTGTAATATAAAGTTACTTATAAAGTGTAACATTGTTAACCTGAATACTATGATTCTGTGACAAAGCTAACAATTTCGGGAACAGCTTCTCCCTTATCCAACTTGCGAAGCGGCAGTTATTTATTCTCTCGAGGTCAGAGTGACTGTGTTTCAAAATTGTTTCTGCCCCCCTTACAACATTAGTTGTCTCTGGGTGCTCTTACCAGGTTATCTTGTTTATACCTTTTTGTTGTTCTAATTTTCTTGCTGATGGAGGAAAAAGGTTTCTTCACGGGTGTTTATCAAAACTTGTCTCTACATCCAGGGCTAACTGCTTTCAAAAATTTAATTCCCCAATATCTAATAAATTAAAAATTCCATTTTTGTATATGTGTCTAATATGCAATTATAATTATCTTAAAAGCCTCATCTCAGGTAGGTCAAGCTTTCCCTATTTCATATAAAAATTGGAAATCTCAAATCAAATGGTTTTCATTTGAGATGCCTTATAAGAGTCTTAGTGTTTGCATTCTAGTCCCATCTTAACTAAGACTCAGACATTTTGTTGTCCGGCTGTGAAGGCCAGGATTTGAGCTATATGAAATGCTACATCAGCTAAAATTTCCTTCAATTGACTATATCAGTTAAAAAGAAAACCCCTAATAGCCACTTTGTCATATTCAGCCATGCGCAACTACAACACCTAGCACATAGAAACATGGTTTTGGTTGTCGGAGGCCAATCATCTCTGCTCCAGGGCATCTCTGCAGAACTTCCTCAGGGTAGTGTCCTAGGCCTGACCAACCTCAGCTGATTCATCAATGACTTTACCTCATCTTGTACACTTGGTCACCTCCTCGAAAAATTCAGACAAGTTGGTCAGACATACCCTCTCCTTAACAAAACCTTAATCTTCTTGATTAATCCCTGCCTGTCCAAATGTGAGTATGGACAAACTGTAACTTCTTCATACTGTTTCAGTGTAATGTATCTTACAAATAGAACATAGAACATAGAACACTACAGCGCAGTACAGGCCCTTCGGCCCTCGATGTTGCGCCGACCTGTGAAACCAATCTGAAGCCCATCTAACCTA